AAAATTATAAAATATAATATAGAGCTAAAAATAAATATATACTAATATAGGAAAAAAAATAAATTCTATTACAATATCAAGTTTCTGTTTGTATTTTTTCTAATATTCTTTAAATGCTTTATTATAAAAGAAAACTGTTCTTTTATAGTTTTTTTTCTTATTTTTGCTGCACTATATAGTGTGATTTAATAAATTGATTCTATTTTTGCTATAATTATCTTGTAATTACTATTTATACAAGTATTTATTTTTTAAATTTTAATTTTATAAAGACTATCTACTAGTTTTTTAATAATCTATATAATTTATTTTTGATTCAAACCTCTATTTAGATTATAAGAATTTTTTAAATGCATTATTAAACTCTTGTCTTTCCAATTAGCTAAGCAATGAATCTGGTTTTGCTTATTTTTTTTTTAGTTTAATAGTCTATCCAAGTTTATATTTATTATTATATCAAATCTTCTATAATTATTATTTGTATTCTTGGCAGTCTTTTAACATATTTATTAATTATTAACTTCTGAATTGTTTTTTTTTTCTTTATTATTTGATAATAAGTAAGACATTATAATTATAATTTCTACTTGTTGAAAAAAAAAACTAACAAAAATTATATATTCATTTGTTCTTTCTATTTGGTCTAAATATTTTTTTTTATTTTTGCTGATTAATAACTCTACTTTTAAGTCTTTTTTATTGTCTGAATTTATACTTAACCAAATATTTTTGTATTCTTCTAAATCTTTTTTTTTAAAAAAAACTTTTTTGATTAAAATGTTTATTTCTGTTAGATCTACTATGTTTAGTTCATTATTGATTATTCATTTATAAAGTATTTCTAATTTTTGGCTATTTGTTTTAAGTTCATTAATATTATATGCTACTAGATTCAACTTAATTCTTTCATCCTTATATATTCTTCCTATCTTCAATAGCTTTTTTTCATTATCTTCTATTTCTTTATCCAAATATAGAACATTTCTTAGTAATATTTTATTCTTCTTTAAAAATCTATATTATTTCTTTACTCAAAAAGTTGTAAATAAAATTCTGTCTCACTTGTTTCTTAGTCTTTATGTTCAGTAATCTTATAATAAGTTTGTACCAAAATCTTATATAACATCAATGTTAATATTATTCTATATACATGTAATATTATACTTTGCATAAATGCTTTGAACTTTTATTTGAACTAATGTATTTAAGATTAAAATGTATTGATTCAAATAATCATTTAAAAACAGTTTGCTATAATATAAATATAATTTTCAAAATTTGTTGTAAATGAAATTTGAACACTAGGCCTGCCACTTGAAGGTTGATAACTTACTAACTACTCCAAGTCATTATACTCTGTTATTTTGTTATGTGTAATACATAATACATACTATTGTATGTTTTGTAAGAAGTAAGTTGTTTTGTTTAATTTTTAAAGTTTCTGTATTGTACAAAATAAAATAAAAAAGGTTATGTTATTTTCATTTAGTTTAGGTATTAGTTATAGATATATGTTTTATTTATTTTCCTTAAGTGTTCATATTGTATTGTTTGATACTTTTTGATATATATATTCTATTTTTTTGTATTTAGAATGATCTGTTTCTATCAAGTTCATTATGAACTAATTTTTGTTTTTGTTGTTAATTCTGCTGTTTGATATATTCCTGTTTATATTGTTACTTGAATTGTATTAATTCTTTGTATTTTATTCAACTTCTTTAATCGTCAAAAAGAGTTTTTGATTTAAGTTACTACATATTAAATTTAACAATTTATTATAGTGTCAAATTCAGAATTTATTCCAGGTTCAAATTTAAATTCTAAATCTACCATAATTTTATTTCGACGTACGACATACATAATTACTTAAACCAAAAAATTGATAATTTTTGTTCAAATTACAACTTTGTAAGACTATTATTTTTTTGTAACTTAAAAATTAACCGTTAAAATTCTAATAGATAAATAGAAACTCCGCCGATTTTCACGTAGCCATATAAAAGTTAATGATTACTAATCATCAGTCTCGTTACTTAACCCAGCGAAAAACCTATTTGTCTACTATAGGTTCATATATGAAGAAATTATACATATGTTTAATATATTTAATTATATGAACATCAAAAAAATTGGCACTTAAAATGGATGCAAATCACTGTATATCTGAAAAATTCAATTATATATTCAAAACGTGATACCGAACGATTCATACTTGAAGATTCCGTTAAGCGGCTAGCTTACGTTTGAGAATGAATAAATTGCATATTTAAACAGATATGTTACTATTAAAAATATATCCATATATTAAATTATTTAATTAGAATATTTTTTATTTACCAAAATTAATTATATGACAGATCGGGACAAAGAATCTATTCATAATATAAACATTGCTGCTAAGAGAATATTAGGTTATTATACATATTAAATAAAAGTCAATTTTGTAAAGTGAGACGATTATCTCATTATTAGTTATCTTACATGTATGTACAGTAATTACCTTACCAAAAGTTATATAGACAAAAAACAAATTCATTAAAACTCAATGATTTGGATCTAACAAACCTGACGTTAATTATCTAATATCGGTTTCCTTGACCTTTGGGACAACGATTCGCAAAGTGACCTTTTTCTCCACACTAAATATTAAAAAAGGGTATTAATGTGTTTCAACAAACATTGCTTAAACATTAAACTTTGGAATACCTTAAAACATGTAACTTCTGCCAGTGAACGGAAGGTATTATGATGAGATCCTGTACGCTGCAGTGATTATGAGGTTAATAAATGTTGTAAGTTTGTATAATGAATTAAATTAAGATAAATTCATTTACATTACCTCATCATTCTCATTAGGATTTCTGTGGAAACCTTCTTCCTCATGACCATCGTGTTCACGCTGAGCAGTTGGTAATTCATATTTTGGACTAACAAATGAATGAGTTTTAGAATAACAAGATAAAATCAGGTATAATGGAATTTGCCAAGAGCAAATAACTTACTGTCCGTTAGGACACTCTAATCCTTTAGGACAAAATCCGCTCAAATATAATTGACAAACAACTTTTCGAACATGTTTGTGCCGACAATGAGGTCCTAATTAATAACAAATTTTAAATATTTAAAGCTCATTTGGAAATAATAATAATAATACCAGAAAACATACCATGTTTACAAAATCCTCTGGCATACCAAGCACATTCTTTAATTTTGCTTTCAGGGTCAATGTGCAAGTACATACAGTCTTCATTACTACACTCCCCGTATCTTGAATAAAACCAACATTCAGGCATTTTTCTCATATTAAATTCATGAAGAAACTCGCACTGATCTCCTTTCTTGCAAAGTCCTCGCAGCCAATGCTTACATACAACAGCTTTTTCACGAAAATTTGTTGTGTGCTTAAATTCGCATTTTAGACCTTTAGTACATGCACCTCTCAAAAAATCTTGACATATTTGATCTTTTCATAAAGAGGAAAAAACAGGGTTAGATTTTAAAAAAAGGTAAAAGCTGTAAATTATAACAATGGAGACAACAGTGAAAAAACGAATAAATGGGAGAAAATGTTAGCAAAGAAATGGCAAACACTCTTAGAGAATTTTACCAAAGCTCTACCTGACTCGTTGTTTGCTCCTAGACCTAGTTCTGTTCTGATGTAGTCTTCGAAATCGAAAGAATAGTTATTAGCAAAGACGTGAAAGTCTGGCATTTTTTTAAGAAAAAATAAAAAGTATATGACGAATTGAGAAAATTGAGCTTTTGATCACGATCAATATTGTATTACGATTGCAGTAATGTGACTTATAATTAATCATGTGGCAAACAGTCAATATCGAAAAGTGATAAGAAGCTATGACGTATTAACAATAGCACATATGCATTTTAATTTGACGGGTGTGTTTGATCTGCTAAAAGAATACCACTATTTAACGTTTATTGAGTTCTTGGCAGTGTCCGACTATTACTAGGACTATTTTAGATACTACACTATAGATAACTGGATATTAATTTCCTGGATTTTACTGTTTATGACTAATTATAACTTGGTAGAAGCTGATTTGAAACTTTGTCTATTAAAAAAAAAGCGAAACCGCATTTATGCTGGATTTTTTTTTTTTTTTTTAATTACCCGCTTTATTCCACTTTTATTTAAAACTCAAAACACAAAACCTATAAATTTCATCCAATTATTTTTACAAAAAGTAAAACAAGCAAAATGCAATATGCTTATGCATATAATTCGTGAATCCCTTAATTACCTCATTTGTTATTTATTTATATGGGATAGCTGCCGAATTGATTAATTTGATCAGCCTTCACTATATTTTTTAATGTTAGCATATTCCATGTATGAAACTACTCTTGTTATTGCTTGCATATTGTATTAATTCTTCAAACAAGCTTTTAAAATATATTTGTCTTTCTTTGCTTCGAATTTTTATAAGAGAATTTCGTCTCTCTCCCTCTTTTTTTTTTTTTTTTAGAGATCTCGAGTTTTTACAAAAAAGGACCTATATCACCTGATATAGTGTCTTATTTGTGGCACTAATTTAAGATTAGTTGTAATACTATATAGGTGAGGTAAATTTATAGATCGTTCGTCATTATATTCTTTTCAATTTCTTTTTAGCAGAAGTACGAGCAACATACCGTAGTGCAAGGCTAGAACAGGCTTGGACGTCGTGTCATGTTACTTGAACGTTCGCATTTATTATTTTTTTTTTAGTGAGGAATGTTATTTTGACAAGTTTTCTTTTAACTGACATTCTTGATTAGTGAAAGCAAGTTCTCTCACTCCTTATTAAACTTCTCCTCGAGATAATTCTATTCCTTACCTCTATTTGAACGATTATATGAATGATTTCCGCCGTATGTATCGTTTAATCCTTGTGTTTGAATATTAGGCGTATATTCCTGACCCCTTTGTGAATAATTTCTATTTACAACTTGTGGTTCGTAATTTACATAATCACTTGAACGGTCAACCCTATACGAGCCTGAATTATTGTCAGAATTGCCATTATAATAATATTGGTTTCTCTGACTTGAATTATACATAACGACCCGTTTTTGGTGTATTTTTAAACATGAAAATGTTCTATGTGAAAATAAATCTTGTTTTGTTATTCAGACATAGTTCACATATTTTGAAATTCACAGTAAAAAAATGGGAACAGTAAAAACAGTGAAAACTTGAAAATAATGTAGTAATAACCATGAAATTTAACAATTGTTTAGAATCCCGCTCTGCTGCCGCTGGCACGTGGCGTACGCGTGTAAAAGATGATGACGATAATAACTCTTTAGGTTCATCGATTTATTCCCAACCTAGTGTTCTTGGTGATGGCAGTTCAAATTTAAGACGACAAAATACTACCGACTCACGTCGTCATGAACCATTATATGAACATGAAGAAGATGAAGAATATAAAGATTATTATGAACCGATAGAATATCCACCTTCACCTCACGCAGGTTCTGTTACGACCCGTGGTAGTACTGCCGCCTTGACCTCAGGGAACACACAACCACCCTTATATGACCAACACGAAAAAAACAATAACTATCAACAATATTATCGTGATTTTAACCAAGGACCACCCGAACAATTTGATGTTTACAATGACTTCAATAATAACCTTAATTCATATAATTACAATGAAGAAACTGCATCTAATCCATCCAATGGTGCGTTGGCAGGTTCCAATGCTTATTCCAAAAATAATCTTAGTGGGAAGGGTTACGATCTCCCTAGTGAAGAAAAAGGTGTTCGTCATTCGACTACTGGAGAGCATTTAGTAGTTCAACAAAAACGGAGAGGTCGCTGTTGTTGTTGTTGTTCGAAAAAATTATGTGTCATAATTACATTTATAATTTTAGTTATTTTGGGTGTTGGTGTATTCTTCGTTTGGCCTCGTCTTCCTTCATTTGCTTTTTCAGGGGATAAAACTTTTCCATCACCCGATACAACACCAATTTTTAGAATGGATTCGTCACCCATTGTCAGTATGGATTTCATAGTGACTGCAATGGTTGATAATCGAGACAATTGGTTACCATTCTATTTTAAAAGTATTAACGTTCAAGTGAGTATAAGTTAAAGTTAAAAATATATTATCAATTAATATTATTTTGAAATATGTCCGTAACATCTTATCCTTTCTTATTTGCTAGTATTTTGATCCTACAAACAGTCGAGCAATTGGCAGTGGAGTTATCAAAAATTACCAAATTTCTAGTCGATCGCTTTCTAGTGTTGATATTCCTATATCTGTTCTATATCAACCAACTCAACTCGATCTAATTCTTAATAATTATATAACCGCCTGTACAATACCTACTAATAATACAAGAGGACAACAAACATTATTAGGTGCACGTTTTGAACTACAAATGTTCATTTTTGGATTGGATTGGATATATAAGCCTTCGACATCTATTACGATTTCTGATTTGAAATGTCCCTATGAAGTACCATTGTCAACTTCAACTTCGTAATATTGTTAAATTTCGTAATTTAACACACTAGTATAATTGAATAATATATATTCGGGCTGTGAATTTTTGTTATTATATTCTCAGACATATTTAAAAAAAATAAATTTAAATTTACAAAAAGATAATCGGACTTAGGCACTAATATTTTGGGTCACCATTTGGATAGTGTATTAATTAATTTCGTATATAAGAGATAATTATAATTTAGTGGTATAACCTTTTAATTACTCATAACCAAAAGCCTTACTGTAATTTATACAAATTTAATAGATTTCTTTCATCCAATCCTTTTCAATCTCCCAATTCACCGTTACCTAATAGATTGACTTCCCGCTATCTATGATTGAATGGATTATCAAAGGAATCTTTAAATTCGTAAATATTAATACCTATAATTAAAAAAAAAAAAAAAAAAAAAAAAAGAAAAAAGTACTTATATAATAAATCATAAGTAAATGAATTTCTAGACTAATTTTAAATCAGTTAAGCTTTAAAAAGCTTTTTTAAAATTTGTCAATTTCCGTTCCTTTTTGAAGCACCTAGCCCATATATTTTTACAGATTTAGAGGATTTAGAGGATGCATTTAGAAAGTCGTTGCGTTTAGAGAAATCTAATTGCGGTAAACAGAATATTACTTCTAACGCTAATTATTATGTATACATATATATATTTAAAAGTGATGAAAGATAAATTTTTACATGAACATCGTGTAAGTTTTTTTAAAAGTTATTGGAATGGAGATAGTAAAGGATGACATTTTATATAATTTATGTAATTTAACAATAACGATAATGTAAATTTTGGTTTTCATGATTCTCATGGCTTGGCAGAACAGTTTTTTTTTACTATAAATAACTAGAAATAAAGTAAATATAATTGTTATACGAATTACTGTATTAAATATGTAATATCCATAAAAACTTGATAGTTGACAAAATCTTATTTAAAGCAGCTCTTTATTAGTGATCCTGGCCTGATAGTAAAAAAATTAGCCAAAACAAATTATCAGCTTGTCTGGTCGATTTTTTTTTTTTTTTAAATTGGTTGATAGATGTTGTTAAGACCCAAATAGACCAAAGATTTAGTAACCAACTAAGCCGAAAATTTATGGTCAGCCAAGATCATTACTCTATTATTAATATTTAATTATAATTTATTTAACATTGTACATTTACATAACTATATAAAAACATATACATATAAAGTTGTCTCGTTCTCTATTACTAATTTTGTCGATCACCCAAATTATTATAAATTGATCCAAAAATCGCGAAACCTAAGTATGTTAATCTTACGATGAATACTCTATCAACGCGATTAAATTCTCGTAAACATCTTAGGAATAGCGAAAAGTTTTTACACGCGTTTATACATTCAAGAAGCATTTATTATCTTTCTTTTAATATCAAAAGAAGATTAACTTCAATTCTATTGAAATTTACTAATGACTGTATATCATCAAAGATGAAATCTTGTGGTTTTAAATCACAATCACCATTGATTATATCTCGTTCAAAAACGAAACTTACATTATATTTAGATGATTTACCAAAATCTGCAACAATTCCTACAAACATTGATAATCAGAAAAAAGGCCCTGAATGGGACAGTAGTATTGGGAAAGTTGTTAGGCAGGCTCAAATTGATTATCCAAATTGTGTCATATTAACACGTGTTGGACAATTCTGGGAGGTAATACCATAAATTCATTTTTATTTAATATTCAATTATTAATTTATAAATTCATTTTTATTTATACTCAATTATTAATTTACTTAAATTTTTTCGGTTTTTAAAAATTTTTTTTTTAAGCTATACTTTGAACAAGCTAAAGAGATTGCCCCACTTTTGGATATAAAATTAACAAAAAAAAAATTCGGCCAAGAATATTTCGCATTTGCTGGTTTTCCTGTTCAACATTTAGATAGGTACCTTGCTACGTTAGTTAATGTTCATGGTCTTCCAGTCGCAATTTGTGAAGAATTTCTTAATGATGAAGTAAATGAAGATAAATTAAAATTTAAACGTCGAATTACACGAATTATTACTCCTGGAACTTTAATTGATGAAAGTTTTTTACCATATGATCAAAATAATTTTTTACTTGCGCTTTCTTTGGATGAAAAAACGAATTTGGTTGGATTGGCATGGATCGATATAACAACCGGTCTATTTTTTATGCAAAGGTCAAATTTAGAGTCAATTTCTGGTGATTTAATGCGTATTCGTCCCAGCGAAATCGTCTTATGTGACAATTATCATAATGTGGAAAATCACGATATTTGGCAGTATGTTGATAGTAGAAAATATATTATTTCTTATGAACCATCAAATTCTTTTAATTCTAAATTATCTCAGAGTTGGACGTATGATTCACAAGTTGACTATGATATTAACCAAATGTTTTCCTCTGATGAGTTGAAAGCCAGTGCTGCATTACTGTCTTATATTAATAAAAATTTGGTCGGACGTACGTTAAAAATTCAATCACCAATAAGCATTAATTTGAACGATACAATGATTATTGATGCGACAACTTTAAGGTCATTGGAAATTACAATATCAATGAGAGATAATACAAAGAGAGGAAGTTTATTGCACGCAATTCGACGTACAAAGACGGCTTCCGGTGCTCGAACATTAGATAGGTGGTTATGTAAGTGTGATTGTGTATTTTTTTATTATTTAACATTGAAATTTACAAGAGTTAATAAATAAGAAATTTTAGGTTTCCCAACGACTTCAATAAATATCATAAATAATCGGTTAAACCTTGTCGAATATTTTTGTAAAAACACACATCTTACAAGTGATATTCGACAAATTCTGGAAAATTGTGATGATACGCAAAGAACGTCACAAAAAATCACTTTTACTCATTGTAATCCTGACGATTTTTTAAAATTAAAACATACTTTAGAATCGATGCTCTCGATAAAATATCGATTGCAATCAGAGCTTTACACTATTCCTGATGCTAGTATGAAAACTCTTGTGGAACGTATACAACCACAAAATGATCTTATAAACATTATATCTGAAGCTATTGACGAAGATGTATTAATTAAAATGAAAGAGACACGACAGTACAATCCTGATGGGAGTATTATCTCTGGGATAAATACCGACATTGAAGAGGCTGAAAATATTGATTTAGATACCAACTTTGAAGGATGCAATGATGAACCAGTAGCAAAAAAAAAAACTACTAAAAAACGCAAGAAAATTGGACAAAATTCGGAAAGCTCTACCTTTGAAGAAGATTTTGCGTCGATAGTAAAGAATGATAATTGGGTCATCAAAAAAGAGTAAGAATTACATGTATTGTTGTTTTGTTGAAATGGTTTAATCTAATTATGCGATTCGAAAACTTCAGGTTTTCCCCGCGTTTATTGCAATTGCACGAACAACTTGAAGTAAAATATCGGGACATGATTGAACTTAGAAATCGCTGGAAAGTTAAATTAAGTAATAAATTATTAATTTTTTTTTATTTAATAGTCAATCACTATTTTGTTTAATAAATATTTATTTATTGATTATATTTTTAGATGGTTCGGTAGAACTTCGATCACATCCAAGCTTTGGATTCATCGTTGCTATCAAGAGAGTTCAGAATAATAAAGATGTTGAACGCATATTAAACGCAACTCGTATTCATCATTTTAAACATAGAAAATTGTTTATTATACAGGTACTTATGTGAATCAAGGCATGCTATGCATTTATGATTTTGCTTTTAAATTGACTCGTTTATAAGAAATGGACACATCTTGGTGGACAAATCGAAGATATAAAATCAAATATACGAGAGGAAGAAACGAGAATTTTTCAATTAATTCAGAAAAAGGTAATTATGTTTATTGAAATTTACCCGCTTCTTTTTTTTCTTGTGACTATTAATACATTTTTAATTGTTACCAGATTGTAGAAGAATGGGACTTAACTGTACAAAATTCACGAGTAGTTGATGAATTGGACATAGTTAGTTCATTTGCTGTATTAGCACGAGAACAGAATTTTGTGCGGCCTATTCTGAATTATGGGTATATGATTAACAATATTGGTCTATTTTCAAAAGCCTACATTTAAACTAATTTACTTCTAATTTATTTTCGTAGTAATTCTCATAAAATTGTAGGCGGTCGTCATCCTGTAGTGGAGGCAGGACTTCAATTAAAAGGACGTCAATTTATAAAGAATGATTGTTACGTTGGAGATAAAAAACGATTGTTTATATTAACTGGGTACCGTTATTGACTATAGTATAAAATTTCGAGTTACGGCCCTGATTAAGTTTAATTCGGTCCATAACTCAACATCATTGCTCATGCCTCTATTTAAAAATGTTTTTGATATATATATCTTTTTTTAAGCTTAATCCTAAATATTTCTAAATATTTTGTTGGTTATGATATAGGCCGAATATGGGCGGAAAGAGTACATACTTGCGTCAAAATGCTATTATTTCGATTTTGGCACAAATAGGATCATTCGTTCCAGCTGATCATGCAGAAATTGGTATAGTTGATCAAATATTAAGTAGAGTATGTTAAAAATATAAAATATTTATCTTTTTATAAGTTTGATTAATTTATTTTATTATCCAAGGTTGGTGCTTCAGATAATTTATATCAAGACCAATCAACATTCATGGTTGAGATGATTGAAACTGCACATATTTTAAGGAATGCAACATCAAGATCTTTTGTGAGTATATATAATTATATCTATGTATTTATTTAATAATTAAATTACATATTTTTGGTTTAACTTTTTATAAAGGTCATTATGGATGAAATTGGTCGCGGCACGGCTACTTTAGATGGGATTGCAATTTCATTTGCAACATTATATCAATTGCATTATATAAATCGCTGTAGGACATTATTTGCTACTCATTTTCATGAATTACCAAACCTAATAGTTAATTTTGAGAATGTAGCGTGCTATTGTACAGATATTCAAGAAAATAAGGTATTTTTTTTTATTAGATATGTAAAATTTTAAATGCCAATTAATGATATTATACTTGGTTCTAAATTTTAAGGATGGAAGTTTTTATTATCTTCATCAAATAAAAGAAGGTGTAAACAGGAATTCTGCGGCACTGAAGGCTGCACAACTCGCAGGTTTGGTTTATTCTTATAATTAAACACATAAATATCATATCATATCACTGTTAATTTTATGTTTGTATATATATATTTATAGGAGTTCCACCGTCAGTGTTAATAGTTGCAAAAAATACTTTAAAATATTTGCAAGATCATTCTAAACCCATTAATTTGGATTCATATTTTCAATCTGAAATTGAAAAGTCTATTTATAATGACTTACCAGAAGTTTAATTATATAGATATATATAATTAGGGATGTTGGGTTGATAAAAAAATGTGTTAAACCATTTTTCACCTGTTTTTAATTATGTAATGGTCATGTTATCAGCTTGTTATAAGGCATTTTAATAGAACTTATAATGCTTAATTGAATATTAAAAATCCAATTTCATTTTAAATTCCTGTGTATATCGATATGTATATCAATTTGTCTCAGGCGGCAACTCAGATCTTATCTATTTGGTTGGCATTAACGATCTACACTGATTGGACTAAACTATACCTACATCCTTACACTAATTTAGGCCAGTCAATATCTGAAACAAGAATGCAACTAAGGTACTTTATATATATATATTTATCAAAATTTTCTAGTTCTCTGAAAGCAATAATAACTAAGTTTTTTAATCTGTAAAGTAGGCATATTTTAAGCTTAAAAATTTTTTATTTAGAGTTCTATTTATAAATTACTAAAGATTATTTAAAGCCTATCAAAGACCTTTTTGTAAAATAAAGAGATAAAAAGAATATAATGAGACAATACGTAACAATACAGTCAGACCTCGTCATAGTCACTCTTGGTATAGTCACAACTAGAGTTCCAATCCGGATAAATCCGTCAACCATTTATCCATATTTGAATTTATCCGGATATCTATTAATTATTGATATCCAGAAATATTCGGATAATTATCTGGACATCAATAGAAAACGGATATCTGAATAAATTCAGATCCGGTTATCCAATAGGTAAATGGATAAACGGCTAATGAAAGGAACTCTAGGCACAGCCTTGGTAAAATCACAACCTTGTTATAGTCACACTATTACTATTTGTTAGTATATATATATTATGAAACATATAGATTTTGACCTTCATATAGTTAAACCTTTTTATAACGATAATCACTAAAATTTTTGTTTCCTAACCTGATGGTTATATCAAGGTCTGACTCTATCAGAAGCTTGATCACTAGTACATTAACCCAAAAATCGAGATTTCTAAATAATTGTTAACTTAACAATCGGATAAAAAAAATCCATTTATTTTAAAAATTCGTTACTTTTTTAATAATTAAGAATTAAAAGGTTTTTTTAGCTATATTAAAATCTAGAATTTAACGTTAATTGGGTTTATTCAGTAATACTGTATAAAATCAAGTTTCATTATATTTTTTCGAAAATATGACAATCTTTACGTAACTAATACATGCAGCACCTGTCCGCCACGAATATCAGTTTTGGGAGGTTAGCAGTAATATAACCTTGATCTACCGATTTTACTGTCGTTATCAAAAGACCAAATTTAGTTTGCATGCCACAGACAACAATCATACTAGCATACAATGAGTGTCTCGAAATAACGCCCGGGGTGTAGGATAAAAATTTGGCCGGAATTAAGCTTAATTTAAGCCGAATTAAGTTTAATTCTGGCCAAAATTTTATCCTACACCTCGGGGCGTTTACGATACGTAATTGCTCAAAGAAATTCTTTAATTAATACACTTATAGATTGGAATTAATGATTTCTTTAGTCGATTCATGTAGGTGCTTATGAAATTTTGGTGCATAAGACATATATATAGTATGTACGTATGTGCGTATGTATCGTTTATTTAAACGTCATGCAGAATTTTTTGATCGCGAGATGACTACCAAGTTGCCTTTTGATAATACGTATTCAAACTTCTAATTTGGTGCTTATAAATAATGATATATTAATTTGGAAAATATGTGAATTAAAACTAGACATCATCAACTCACACGCGTATGACTAATTGCAGTTGTTTTGAATCAATTACGAAAGTGTGATTATTATTATCATTATTATTATGATTATGATTACTACATATTATTATTATTGTTATTACGTATTATTGTTATTATTATGATTTATTATATGTTTATTATATGTTTATTATATAATTCTTATGATTATTTTGTTATTCAAAATAAAAAATCATTAATTTTTGCTAATTAAAAATTGATTTCTTGAAGACTTAAAAAAAACTATTAGAATCACAAATTTAATATACAGGAGGCATTACAAAATTATTAAAGAACAATGGGTATTTTCAAGAGATCGTGCATATCATAAATCCCCACTGAATTTTTGAGGCGTCACAATTAAAAGTGGAAATTTCCCCCTTTAAATTTATTACTTCTATTGGCTACTACGATTCTAATTTGTCCAAAAGTATATAACTCATTGTTTCATTCTTGTTTGTTTGTTATTGTCGCTATTGTTTATTCGCCTACAAGACTTAAACGTTAAGTCAACGTTGATAGGATTTGGGCTGAAATTCACATGATATGTGAAAAATATTACGTAATATAATAAAATTATCATATTATAATGCCACAGTTAGTAACGCCTTTTTCATGATCAGCCTTCAATTTCACTAAATCAAGACTAGTTTAAATTAATCAATAAGAAAACGGAAAACAATAGGTTTAACTTGACTCCGCTCTCTTTCCCTTCACTCTCGTTGTTTCACTTTTTTTTAAAAAAAGAAAAAATATGGCATTAGATTTAGAAAAAATTCTATTGCGAGATATTAGTCAGTTATTTCAAGATGCTGATGATTATAATGTTCAAATTCATGTCGGACAAGAGCCGAACATTCGAATTTTTAAAGCTCACTCCGTGATCTTGAGAGCTCGATCTTCTTATTTTCGAGCTGCTTTATCAGTAAATTGGGCTAGAACTGATCCTAATAGTGCTATGATTACTTTAAAGAAACCAAATATTTCTCCTATTGTCTTTGAAATTATTTTGAAGTAAGTTGTTTTTATAACTTGTGAAAATTCTTTAATAAAAAGATTCAAAGATACATAACTATAAGACTTTATGTTTTATAAATAATCTAAAAAAAAAAAAAAAAGCAAGTTTTACTAACCATTAAATGTAATATATATATGTATGTGTATGTTTTTTTTTTTATAGGTATATTTACACTGGTAACATTCCATTAGATGAAATGAATGTTAGGATAAATTACTCATTACTTCTTGTCGCAGCCGATGAACTTGCACTCATAGACCTAATAGACCATATCCAAGCTCATATCATCAGAAATGAACAAGACTTGCTGCGTATAAATCTTATCGAATTTCTTCAAGTATCTTCTCGACATGATGCTTGTCGTCTTTTAAAGGCTCATTGTGAAGATATCATTTCCCGAAATCCATCTGAATTGTTCAAATTGAATGCGCTTACTATCTTGGATAGATACGTTTTGATAAATCTTCTCAAGAAAGATACCTTCAACATGGAAGAAATCGATATCTGGGATAATGTAATTAAATGGGGAACTTCTCAAAATCCTCATCTTAGTAATGATTTATCTCTTTGGACTCCTCAAGATTTTGAGGTTTTAAGAAAATCTATACAAGATTTTATTCCGTGTATTAGATTTTTCGATATCTCTGGTCCGGACTATTATAACAAGGTACTACCATTTAAAAAAATCCTACCAAAGGACTTAAAAGCCGATCTTAAACGGTGGCATTTTGCTCAAGAAGCTCCTTATAGAGCAAGAATAGCTCCTAGAATTAAACCATTCGTATCATCCATTATTAGTCCTGGTCATATCGGTCAATTGGCAGCTTGGATTGATAACAAACAAGAACCTTATCTCTCAAGAAATCCTTATGAATTCAAGTTACTCATGCTTGGTAGTCGTGATGGATTATATAATGTTAGGGAATTTCAACGTCGTTGTGGAAAGAAAGGACCAACAATTATTGTCATCAAAATAAAAAATTCCAATCGTATCATTGGTGGTTATAATCCAATCGAATGGTGTTCATCGGAAGGTTATTTGTCTTCACGAGACAGTTTCATATTTTCTTTTGATAATAATAAGAACACAACAAATTCTATTCTCTCACGTGTCAAGAATCCGGATTGCGCCATTTTTAATTCTGATAGTAATTATATCGGATTTGGTAGCGATTTGGAATGGTTCGGTGGAATATGTGAGCAATATAATTATCAAAGAAAAATTCTTAATCAAATTGATTTCACTATGGAAAATTATGAAGTGTTCCAAGTTAAAAAGAGATATAACTATTAATTAATCCTTTTTTTAGATTATAGAATTAATTCGCATGCATTTTTATTACACACCATCATCACATACAAGTTTTTAATATCATGATCAAGTTAGTAACAATATATTTTTCAAGCCTAATAATTTGGATTATGAAACGGTGCATTGTACATATGATATAAACAGTATGGTTTTTATATGGCTACAAACCTTTGTAATATAGATTTCATTATTCAATCCAAATGCAGCAGATTTTGGATTTTTATGATTAATCATCATGTTTAGCTTTTATTATTTTTTTGTAATATATAGATTTCTTCTTAATTCAGATGGCTTTCAAATTTTATTAAGCAAATTTGAATTATGATTTTTTCACCTTTTTTTTCATTTTTTTTTCATTTGTAATATAAACTTTTTTTTCCTCTAAAGGGTGGCAAGCTTGTAAATATGATACTCTTTTATAAAGAGAATATGAAAAAATCCTTATGATTCTCCTCTTTGTATAAAGATAGATTATTATTCTTTGTCAAAAATTCAAAAATCAAAAAAGTCAAAAGTCAAAGATATAAACATAATAAAAATTTTAACAGTACTAAAAAAGGTTATCTAAATTTTAAGCAAACGTAATTCAAATTTGTAAGTTATTTAAATATATATTATATTAAACAATTATTATATATAGCGATAGTGTTTACAGTAAATATCATCCGATATTATTAATTATGGGTTGGTCAAATTGGTTCGGTAACAATGGCCAAATAGTCTGATCTATTAATTAAATAATTTTGTTACGTAATACCGGGTGGGTGAAAAGTCTCTGGGCAGGACCTTTTTTTTTTAATCACTCATATATTATTGAGTATTACGTATTATATAGTAATAAATAACTATAGAAATTTAATATTAGTAGTTATAATAAAAAAGGGAATTTTCACCCACTCAGTATGTAAAAAATATATGACCCCAGATGACCCAAATGGTCGAATTGGTCAGGTCGAAATTGACCATTACAGGTTCATATCAACCCTGGATATTTATACACTGGAAACAGTTAATTATAACGTTATTAACTATACTAAATAAAATTTATTAACACAGTATAGTACATTAATTAAATTAATAACAAATGCTTAAATAATCATACTACATTATGTTAGAAAACTTTAATAATAAAAATAATTACAATAAATTATTTTTCTAACATGTCTTTTAATGACATTGTAGCGGAACCTCTAGGTTTTGGTTTTGATTGTGAAACATCAGGCTTCCACCCGATCTACAAATAATTAATTGTTAATATGAAAGTTTCAAACTTACATTATGTACAATTTATTTAAGTACGATTTACGATTTATTAATGTACAATTTATTTACCAAGTATACTATCTATACATATGATACAAATTCATTAGATCAACCTTATAAGTCGAGGAAAAATCACAGAAATAAAAAATCTTTACCTGAAAAGTTGCAGGTATGGTGCCGTCCGAATTTCCATGAAGATCTGAAATTAATTAACTTCTCTTTAAATAGGTGGGAAAAAAAAGATAAATTATATATATAGATTCATTAAATAATATCTTACCTTTATAAATTGCAGCAGCAGCTAAAAGTGTATCTCTTTTCAAAAACGGTCTCCTATAATGACATCTTTTTATATGGATTTACATATAACCAGTAAAGTTTTAAATTCTGGTTTCAAACCTTGCCAATACAGCATTGCTTTCACCCATCGCTTTTAAATCTTTTATTAACTCAAACATTGTAGGATAGTTTACTATAATATCATCAACGTCTATTGTCGTTAAAGTAAATCCTGCGCGAGCAAGTAAACTTCCAACATCACGAATATCTGTAAAAAACGAAAAAAGTTTTTCATTAATAAGGAAAAACAAATTTTTTAAATAGATTAAAAACATCATAATTTACCTATCATTGGGGAAACTCGCGGAGAAACGCCCTGTTCACGTTCCAATTCTGCCAATTGCAACGATGTCCTGTATAAATAAATAAATAAATAACCAATAAATAAAACAGAAAGAAATTCTCGATGGAATTGTAATGCATATTTGTATACCTGAGTTCAAATAAAGTGTCACCACTAAACATCGAAGCTAGAAATAAACCATCCGGTTTCAAAGATCTTTGAATTTGAATCATTGTACCTAGTACAAACAAATTACACGGTAAATATCATTGGTAATATATAGAAAGCCTTTATATTATAGAGAATTAAATACCTGGCAAATCGTTTACCCAATGTAATGAAAGATTACTTATTACAGCTTCCACAGAATTCTCCGCGAATGGGAGTAATTCCTCATCTACTACAATTCGTTCAACTTCAACTAAAAAGTGATATAATTTTTAAAATTCAAAGTTTCAAAAGATCCTGATTAAATATTAAATTTATTACCATCAAATTTCATATTTTTATCCCTTTCTAGCATTTTCTCTAAAATAAAAAAGAAATTTTAATGTCAAATAAGTGTGACAAATGAATTAATGATTAATGCCTTTATGCGAACCTGACATGTCACACATCAACAATTTTTTTGTTATATCTTGATCTATATGTTTTACTACATGCCCACATCCGCAACCTAAATCAACAATTGTATCATACTTTCGCTTAATATCCTACAAAATCAACCACTATATTATAGTCATCTTTCCAAATAAGAATTTTCATAATTTCATCATCTAATAAATTTCTAATAAATTAAATCACCAACAATCTATCAACAAGCCTATATGCAACTTCGTCTTTAAGATAATCAACTTGTTTACTAGATTCAATATCTAAAGCAGAACGGTCTCTTTGTAACTTTTTTGTCATACGATCAAAAACTGTAAATGCAGAAGCCTGTGGCTTTTGTGAGGAAGCATAAGTTCTTAGATTTGAGACGCTTCTTGGCTTAATAAGTCGGTAAAACAATGTCGATAGCATTTAATAATTTATTTTTAGTAAAACTTTAAAATTTATATTTATAGGTTGTGCAGAGAACCGAGCATTATAATTTTCCAAATTGGGACATTAATGTTTTTTCTTGCTTTTTTTTTTTTTTTTTTTAATCATTATCGATTCAGTGCATCCGTTTGTTTATCTTTTTAAACGTTAAAATGATATTATTGATTATATGAAACCCAATTATATGAATTGTTTTTTTTTTTGTTCTACAAACGTAGAGTTTAAAATAACAAAATTTGATCTAATTTGGTTAGGTAGATTACTAGCTCTCTGAAAATGCTACCGCTACTATGGTTTTTATCAATTACACCGGCATTTTGAGTAACAAAAGATATGTTCTCGCATCCCAAAATTTGCCAAGAATATATCAGAACCTAGTGATTGGATCTAGATAGTTTTTTTTTGAACGACTGGTATGTAAATACTTAGATCCAATTATTGGATCACGATAATCTATGATACAAAAATTGCAAAAGGGGAAGTTACGTACTTATTTGTGAAATGATACTATGCATAAAGAAGAATCATATCCTTAAAATAACTATAAAAAAAAAAAAAACTTTTGTGACATTGTGTGAAGTCTAATTTCCAATATCTCCTTAACTAATTTAAAAAGGAAAAATAAATTTTTAAGTAATTTCTTGTAAAACCAAGGTAAATGCCATAAATGTTGGTTACCATGAGTTTAGTATATTTAAAAAGACAGATTCTCGTTGATTAACAAATCTTCGTTTAGTTTAAAAGCTTCTGTGATCCTGAGTGATCCGATCAGATTGAACTTACATACCCGATTAACATCATTATCTTTTCTTAATAGGAAAACAATTTTTTTAAAATATTCAAACGAACGCCTATGTCTAGTATGACAACGAACACAAAATAAGGAACTTAATTGAGGTACGTACGTACGCATGTGCGCAATAAGGATTATAATCGGGTATAAATAGCGATAGATGAGACAAAAGGTTTAGGTAATTAACCTAAAACAGGCTAGACCAAGGGTTTGGATAAGTTTTTCAGGAGAGGATAAGAAAAAAAAATCGGCCACGTGATATTTCTGAAACCTTAGAATGATGTTCTTCAAAAGCTAAAATTGCTGTATAACAAGGTTTGTATAACTTATATTTTACTTTGGTGGTTATTGGGTGACATTTGCATTGGCAAATAAATTAATTGTTGGATTAAAAAGCGTACATTAAATTGTACAATGATTGGTGATTCAAATGTTCACAGCTTGTTCATGCAAAGAAAATTTTCTGCATGCCGTTAAGAAATAAATAATTAATAAATATAGAATTCCACATGAATCATCCATTTTATCTTCTTTCCTTTCTTTGAATATTGTGATGAATTTAAAATCTAATTTTTTTAAAAAAGTCAGGATATTTCTTATAAAGTTGTATCTTACATCATAAGATGAATGTTGAAGGATCACCAACATCAGTTATAATAGACACTGAAGAAACAGACGATTCCTTTTCCAAAAAATTACCCACAGAAAACGGTGAACATTCATTAACATTTGATACTTTTTCCATAAATACCACAAATTCTATAAATTTATCGGATTCAACGGATTCAGTATTCACTTTACATTTTCACGCTTTTAACAGACTAATCCGATTCTTCAATATAATGCTTATGATAATACTCATACTACTTATAACAATGTTAATCTTAAGAGATTATTCATTTTTCGATGATCACAGTAGTGAACTTTTTTTACCTGCTTCTTTAATAATTCAAAGTTTATTAACATTACTGGAATTATTTTCAGTATTTAGTTCCTTAGTTCGTTGTAAAAGTGGATTAAAAACAGTTGCACTATGCGCCATTGGATTTTTATCATATTTTACATTAGCTGTCATGAATATATTAATGATACCTCCGGATAGGTTTTGTTATAAAAAAAACAATATGCCTAGTTGTAATTTATTTTCTGCAATTTTGGTACTTACATGGGTCCCTGTTGCTTGCTATTTGTTGGTAATGGGATTCAGTACTAATGAGTGGTGGGAAAGAAAATGTGTTCCTCTGAGGAGAAATTAGAACAATGTTTTTTTTAATAATTATTTCATTCACACAATTTGTATATGTAAAATTAATGCGCATATATGCATTTAGTTTCCTTGTTAATATTCCCGTACGTGTATACGTACGTATGTACTTAAATTCTGCATTTTTTTTTGTTTTTTAGGAGTATTTTCATATTCACATAGGGCATTGTATTTTTAATTATTTACATATCAATTTCTGCTCATGCATGAAAAGTCTGCATGCATGTTAGCCGATGTTTTAGTAACCAAAGAAAGTTTGAAAAAAATAACAAAATTAACCACGCGACACAGAAAAAAAACACATGTTAATAAATAATCATTAAAGTATTATTAAGGTTTGTTGTTTGACAAATTTGATAATTTCAAAGGAATCCCTATTTCGGATCATTCGAAGCGTCACTCTAAAAATAACAATCATTTGACTCGATTCATAACGTTCGTGTATTTTTTTTTTTTAATTAAATGCATTATCTGTTATTAGCCCTGATTTCAATCACGTGAGCGTGCAAATACATATCGATATTCTTGCCAAAATTATTAAAAAAAAACAAATAGAAAAAAATAAACAAAATATAACAAAGAAAAAAAAAATTTAAGTTAAATATACACAAGTTCCCCCAAGAAGAAAACCATCATATATCGCTATCACACAATTATAAAATTATAATGTAATTAATATATTTGATGTATATAAAAAAAAGATGGTATGGTGTCATTCAATTTCTGTGTGAAATTCCTGAATAAAAAAAAATTGATATTTAATCATAAAATTTAATTTGTTTATAAAGAAAAAACATAAATAGATGTTTTAATATACTGTACCGTTTGGTTGGTGAGAATTATTTTGTCTATTTCTGCGAACGTTACCTATCTGTGGAAAACTTGTAAATGTACCATTTGGTTGGTGAGAATTATTTTGTTGTCGATTTCTACGAACGTTATCTATTTGTGGATAACTTGTTGAACTCCGGATTAAAGATCCTTCTGTGTCAGCAACCGCAGGTACTGGTTGTTGTCTTTGAAATGGTCGGGTCATTTGCTGACCATAATCATCAAAATAAAATCCATTGTACCTAACAATTTCTAAAGGTTCCACGAATTGTGGTTGTTCTGGTTGAAATTCCACCTCAATGAGTTCTTCATCTCGTGTACGTTGCGTACTAGTTGACAGAAAATCGGGAGATTGTGATTGTGGTGCATCACGCGAATATGAATCAAACTCCTCAGGATTTTGACCGGTGAGATCAGGGCTATCATTATAATTAAACCATTCATCATGACTGACACCTGTAGCGGATGTAATTGTCGGCTCATTTTCATGTAATTGATATGGTGGTGATTCAGTTATCGTTTGTAAATATTGAGGAGAGGACGTTTGCTGACTTGATTCTTCACGAACATAATAGGGTGTTAATTGCCTATATTGAATTTCAAGTTCTTCTTGTTGAGGCGAAGATGACTTTTCTCTTATTTGTGCGAGTGTCGTTTTTCGTTGTTGACTTTGAGATCGAGATTGTTGCAAAGATAAACCTCGCTGCTTGCGTGTAGAACGTCTCCTTTGATTAGAATGTAAAGTTATACGATCATTATTTCGTGTGCGGCGTCGGTTCGGTTCAGGATGATGACTAGCAGGAGGTAATGGGTCAATTTTTATTTGATGTTGGGCTGCATAAGCCCGAGTTACAGGACGTGTACTTCTTGTTGTGTTAGACATGGTAGCAGTACGAAAAGATGAGAAGATGTGAAATGAAATCCTTGAAAGCTTTTTCTACCTTCATTTTATCAAAGGAACGACGTATTGTAATATTGTATACATTAGTAGATATGTATCTGCAAGTTATCGTATTGTAGGTGTATTGTATTTAACCTAGTTTTCCAAGACTAATTTAGGAGTAAAGTAATAATACATATATTCTGTGATTAAACTAATTTAGAAATAAAGTAAAAAAATGTGCTTATCGTTATCGTAATGCGATAAGACTAATTTAGAATAGCGATAGAGTAAAAAAGTTAGAACAGCTAATGTGGCTGATAAGCCGGTAAAATTTCCAGTAAGTAAATTAAATACAGCAGTTAATAGTTACTCATCGCTCAACATTAAGTAGATTTTAGTAGTTAATTTCCGTCTTATTGTTTTTATAAAACTAATAGCTGTTATTCTGTGTTTATTTGAAGTCATGTCATGTCTATTAATTTTTATATGCAAATAATTAATTATAATTTGCAATTAATATAATTAAAGCTTCGAATCAAAACATATTGTTCAATTCATTTCATGCTCAAAAATATTTGATCAAAACATATTGTTCAATTCATTTCATGCTCAAAAATATTTGATCTTTATCTAGTTATTGATAATTAGCTATTATCATACTGAAATTTGCCAATCTTACCTATATTTTTCATTTGTTCTAAAAATAAAAAATACACTTCGATAAGTTTTGTACTAATTCTCAGTATTAGCTAATCTATGCTTCAGTTATCACAATTAATAAATAGATTTAGAAGAAATCAGCAATAACAAGTCGAGCATATACGTAAAAATAATAAAATATTATTATGGCTACTTTTTGTAAATATTATGCTTTATAACATCGAATTAGGTACTAAAGTTGTCTTATTATTGTATGCTTTAAGAGATAAATTGGAATACTAAAATATTTTACTAACATCAAGTAAAAATCAAGTAAAAATCAATAAAAATATTTAACAGTTAATACATTTGATTTACTATTAAAACTAGAAGTTGGACTCATTGAAATTCCTACCTATATGTTATTAAATTACTCGATTATACAGTAATTTATTTGATTGTATTTCAGCATTATAATATGCTTCAACCATTTTTACTTTAAAACTTAATATTTTTTGTGCCCTTCAAGGGTGAACTATTCCTTAAATTTATAAGTTTTATACAAAATTTTTATCTTAAATTTTTCTCATATATATTAGAGTTGATCTTTAAGATTGGACTTTAAGGTTATTTTTATCAAATAATTGGCTAGTTTTTGGAAATAACTTTTGAGTATTGATTCATAGTAAAAATTAAATATTCCATACTACAATAATACTCTAATTGAGAAAGCACAAACAAATCCGGTTATCTAAAGTTTAATTTGAAATATATACCACTTAATATAAGATCCTGATAATTCTATTACCAGATGCCTTATGCTCACTAGTACTACCATTTACTATGAAAATCAGTTTGTATTTTCATCTTTATTTGGAAAACCAATAGCATCCTTACTTATTAAATACTTCCGCATTCTAGACAGAACTATATAATTTACAATTAATTATCTTGTTGACGAAGTGTTAAAATTATCACGAGATCAATGAATTTGTTCATATGGAAGCGTGTATGTTCGGTTAATGTATAAGAAACTGAATGAATTTGTTCAACTAATAAAAAAGCATTTAATTGTTCTAAATAATTGCTTTTTATTTCGCTATTTTTAACTTCATGGAATTAGGTTAACTTTACCACTCGCTTATCTAATGAATTTGATATAAGTAAAAAAAAAAAATAAAAATTTCAATAACATAATTTTTGTTTTCAATTCAATGATAATATACATAAATATGAATATAAGATTCTGAAGCAAATAACATAAGCATGATGAATGTAAGGGCTCTAAAACTGTAAAAAGGCCTTGTTCTTAGTGCTACTGCCTACGTCAGAATGGAATTATTGTAGGTTGATTCCGAATAAACAGATAGAGTTGTTAACGGCTTGTATGGCTTGGCTTGGATTTCGAAAGCCATGGCTCCAGCTTGGGCCATGGCTATTGGAGCCAATTTTGAGCCATAGCTCGAGCCGTGATTTAGGCCGTGGTTCCAATAGCTATTGCTGAAAACACGATACTCTGATAGCAGATTACGTATACCTGATGCAAAATTAAAGAGCCGCAGCTTAAGCTGAGCCATCGCTAAGCTTTGTTCTAAACTATAGCTCAAGTCACAACCTAAGCTACAGCGATTTAAGCTGCAGCTCAATGGCTTAGGTCGGCTTTGCTTCATTTTGCAGCTAAAGCCGGCTCTGAATAAGCCGTTAACAACTCTATAAACAGGTTGTAATAGAATTCTAAAATGTGCCTGAGTTGTTAACAAAATTAAGTGTATTCCAAATTATTTCATCGAGTACGTTTGCAAATTAAATTTAAAAGTAGAGTTGCTAGTAAAATTAATAAAACTGGTGACTATTTAAAATTTGATTGGCTGTTATATTAAATTTTAGCAGTTTCATCCCCATCCACCAAGAGTTTCACCAGTTTCAACAGAAACTCTATTTAAAAGCATTACATAAGTTTTTACATTTATGAATAGTGGGATGGTAACTATTCCCACGGGTACTTTACATTTACACAATGATTTTTATCACACGCATTTTTGCATTTAATATTACCTACTTGTGAAGAGACTTGTGAAGAGGACTGCAAAATAGACGCTTCTAGAACCTTATGAGCGTTGAATCAAATTTAATAAGTTTGATCTTTCGCATCTCCGCTTATTATATTTGCTGGATCTTAATGCAAAAATCAAAGTTTTCACGTGTTATAAAAGTTTTCTTCGAACGTATTCAGTCATCAGGTAGAGAGTGTTGTCAAAAATGAAAAGTGGAATAAGAAAAAATAATAATAAATTTGTATGTCATCTTGACCATTTATCATGATGATATGATGTAATTTTATCATTAAGTAAATCGATTACACATTTATTACAGTACTGAATTTAAAATCAACTTAAATTGCTATTAAAGTTATCGATTATACAGTATCAAATTTAGGAATTTCGAAATTCCGTTCCAACCCAAGTGGATTCTAAATCTACAATAATTCTGTTCCGACTTACGATACTACTAATATTAAACGTTTTGAGTGTATGGTAATGCAAATATCACTTGACGATTATTTTGCTAAGAGGCATCAAGTATATAATAAAAATAATAGCAAATAGCAACATGAACTATGTTTGCTTTAGTAAAAGTATGCCAATATTGAAATGAAATGCTCTATGACGTGTATGACAGTGCAAAGTCTTTGTTATTTTCAAAATATAAGATCGTGATGGTCGTAGTATTAACGAAAACAAAAACAATAATTCTTTACATCATTATATTATACGAGATTTTCTAATTAATAATTTTATTTTATTTTGAACAACTGTGGATATCAATACTATGATTTGCAAGGAAGGTCAATAAGTTGAATATTATAGATAAGAAATATGAATTGAATAGAGATGCGATCCGTGATCCTTTTCTTATTTAATATTTAAAGGATCCAAAATACTGTTTACAATTTATAAATTTTTTTATAAAATTAGAAACTGTAAAACTGTTGGATATCTGGATCGCGTCTCTAGACTTAAATGATGCATTTATACTATGTACAGTATCATTGAAACTTATTCTCATGTAGTAATTTAATCTTTTTATTTATTTATTTATTTAGATTTGGCATCATATAATTGATACTCTATTCATCCGAGATATTAACGATAAACATCTTAAATCAGTTAAATCTTTAAGATACAGTATAATATTTAAGAATAGCAATAGCTGACCAAATTAGTTCTGGGAGATGCCATCGTAATCTTATATTAGCCGATCTTTAGTTCTACAAAGATAACGAAAAGAAATCGAATCTGAAATTTATGTTTAGAGTTATAAAAGACACACGCCTAATGTTAACTGCGGTATGAACTCGTAGTTACTGGAAAGTTTATCGGCTTATTAGCCACATCAGCCCCCCACTCTTCTTAATCGCATTGGTTTTACTTCTAAATTAGGACTAAGGAACTAAGTTATTACAATACGAAGTCTGCAGCTGATCTACTATTTACGTCGGCTCCATTATGAATTCTTTGTCATTAAAATACAGTGATGAAATATTCAAGATTAATCGTCCACAAACGTGTTTTGTATTGTTTTTTTGGTGCATGCACATCTACGTATCTAGCGTTCAACAATTACTTAAAAATAGTCCTCATTTATTAATTGCGTCACGTATATATATCAAGTCTTCATTTAGTTCCTTTTAAAATTACTATTATGAGATACATGTCCAAAATCGTTAAACAAATCAATATAATTGGATACGTTTTTTTACAGCTCCTCAAAACATTGCCATAGGCGGAGTTGTATTGTTCAGAATTGGAAAATTGCGTTCAAACTCATTGTTTTGATTATCGTTTTTAAAGAACACTCTGTATATACTCAATTTAATACAATACTTGTTTATGCTACAAATCTATTGGTAGTTTTTTACTGACCCGAAAACAATACAATTTTTATTAACGTGACCTCTACCTTATTATAGAATTTTTGATTTGTCACCGCCGAAAATTATCGGGTAAACGTTCTCGGTTACAAGAGCTGCTGAACAATCAAAGTCGTTAATTTTAAAAATAAAAAAAAAAAAAAAGATAAATAATACGAAAACAAGAAATCAAATTAAAATGATTAAATTTATAATTTAAATTATATACTAAACGTTACTGTGATGAACAAGCATGGTTTTTTTATTAATTCATTTAGATATTAATAGATAATTCATCTATTATCTGGAGATCAATATAATACAAATTATATAAGATTTATATGAGCTGCCATTAATAGAAATCAAGCAGATTGACATTTTAAAAAAAATTAATGTCTTAACTTTCACTACTCATATCTAGAAACCCGCGTTAGTAAAATTCGCTGCCACCGCTTTTGCATAATAAAAAACATAGATAAACGTGGATTTCACTCTAATATGATCTATATACATAGTGGGTTTTACTAATTTATAATATGTAAAAATTAAGCACTATGCTGCATAGTGATAGTGCTCATTTTTACTCATATTTTGATAAATTTTGAAACTATTTTCGTAATTGAATAGTTAAAAAGACCCATGGGTCGATAGCACAGTGGTTAGTGTTCTTGGGTCTCAATTATAAGATTGCAAGTTCAAGTTCAAAAAGCAACAAAAACTTTGTCAGGATCATGATTAAAAAAGATTTGCAGAGAATTTCTATTTAATGAACAATAACAAGATTTATATAAAAAAAATGCAGTAACTGGCATAGTTACATATTTGGAAATAACTAAATAAGACATAATCTATTAATAAATAATATTAACATTGAAATTATCTAATTTAAGAACACATAAAATTAAGAATATCAAAAAATACAAATGATTTAGTTAGTAAAACATGTGAAGTTAGAGAACTGCAAACCAAAAAAGATAGTAGGTTCTACATTACAGAACCAGGATTCTAGAATGTTATATAGTAAACTTAATGAAATATGAGTTATTTTATAATTTTTTTTTTTTTTAGTATTAAGATGACCTCTTTGGTCTTTTGATTTTTATTAATAACTTTTTGGTATTGTGATTCAATGAATCATTACAGGAGAATATACAATTGGTTATATGTATAACTTTTCTATATTACCTATTTAAGAAGTTTGCCCAAAGGTTTCTTATCAATTGTTGTACCTAATACCTTTGCTTAGATGTTCCATTTTAAATCTTCTAAACCTGTAATCTGTATTAACTTACTGTATCATATTCAGATGCTCAGATCATTATTTCAACTTTAGAATTAACTTATCCTCAAAGTAAACCTTCTAGAGCCTTCTGTACTTATTTTTACAATTGATCTAAGTATCATTATGGCAGAACCAATACTTGTGATTAGAACTTAATCATTAAATTGCTATATCTTTGTAGAGTTTACTCAGACCCTAGCATTTACTTCACAACATAATCTCAATACTTTAGTATATCCCTGAATTTTATCAGACTTTTAATTAAAATAGCCTATATAGAATTATAACTAATTTATTAGTATATTAAGTCAATCCAATATTCTTTTTTTTTAATCTGTTTTGGTGGCTTGGTTGGTAGTATCTCTGAACTTCTAACTCAGAGATTCTTGCCTGTTTGATTACTAAAACTTAGATATTCATTTCTCCAGACTAGTCTTTATAGTAGTGCCATTGAAGATCTAGCTATCTCTCTACTTAGATCTTTCCAAATGAACTTCTTATTACTCAATTTTAATAAATTTATATGACCACAAAGACTTATCTAGTGTTTATACTGTTTAGTTGTCTGTTTGCATTCCTTTATATAACTCCAATATTGCACAGATGTCTCATGACCTATTAGTCATGCTGGTGCAACTGTTATTATAGGTATCCTAATCCAATCATTAGTAATAGTTGTCATAATACAAATATTATATAGGTAATTATCTAAATTTTCACTATCGATAAGATTTGAACATCTAACCTACAACTTGAAGATTGACAACCTGATCACTTCACTAGATCATTACATTCCTTTATTTTTATAGTTTTGTATTATAAAAAAGTTAATATTATTTAATCAGTTTTACTAAATCACATCACTGATGTTCAACACCAGTATCGAAAAATGGATCAGAAAATTATATGATATATATAAATAGTTATATATATAGTATAATAAATAATATATAATTATACTATACTATAGATTAGAGTTTTAAAATTGTTTATTTGGTTAAACAGTTTTAACATATAAACTAGTTTCAAACTCTACAGATTTAATTTCATTTAAAAAAAAAAACAGCATTTACCTTATATTTCACTTGCATATTAACATTAGTATATAACTTGATTAGAAAAATTTTAAAGTAAACATCTATTGTAATACAATGTAAAATCACAAAACTTTATATTGATACACACTCTATAGTTTATGTCCATTATAATCATACCCTATTCTCAGCCTAACTATTAATAACAAACTATGATCAGAACAAACCTTTCTAAATAAACACCTTTATTTATAGTTTATATATAGAAATTCGACTATATCTTAAAAATCTGCATACAAATTACTTTTTGTGTTCAAGCAAAGTTTTTTTGAACATACTATGATATGCTAATATCTAACCCTAAAGAAATACAAATCTAGAAGTGAACTTTAAAAATTACACTATACATACTATATCTGGTATGTGATTATAACAGAATGTTAATGGCAGTACTGCATTGCTATATTGTAATATGAATTGCAATATAAATAATATGCTTAAATGAAACAATTTCTTTATGTAAGCTTATATACATATGCATAAAAGTGGTGACTGAAGCTAATACTATTGGGGTGACTAAAACACTAACCAACACTAATATTCACAAGACTCAAACTCTAAAATAGCAGGCCAAGAAATAAGCCTGTGTCCAGAATTGAGAGCGATAAATAACTATATGCGGTTTAGCTTCAGATGTTACTATTATAGTATTACATAAAGTTATGCAGTTTATTAAGGGATTCAGATTTAATGATAGTTGGTCATAAGGAAAAGATATTCATTAAAGAAAGTTGTAACTCATAACTCTATCATTCTTCTATTATTCTTTGTTATCCTCCTATTTTATTAATCAATAGATTTACACATTCCTACTCTATATCTAATTTAAATATAATCTATCATTAATCATAAAATGTAATAATAACATATAATAGATTATTATAATAAATGTAATCATGGTCTATGTGATTATGACATAACATTTACATACTAACAAAAAACCATAACACCTGTTTTGAAAATTAAGGTTTTTTGGCTTTGCTGCAGCAACTGTAAAACAAGAAAAGTATATGCTTTCTCAATATATTGCTTGAAATAGTGCTAATTCACTACTTTTATATATCTCTTAATAGCTGTAACAGAATCTCAAATACTTTCAAGCACTAAACTTCTTTTAGGATCATGTACTACAGGATCATGCTTTCGATTTACATTGTTAGTATCTAATGAACTACAAACTCGATTACTTAATATTTTATTATAAAAGGGGTTTTGTTTGTTAATCAAACTCCTATTTTTTGCAACTAAGATGAACAAACCTTATGAGTTTTATGAAGGCCACGGGGACATGAAGTAACAAAGTAGCATTTGAATCAAGTAACAAAAGAGAAAAATACAAAAAGAAAAAAAAGAAAATCAAACACTGTACGATATTAAATTGTGTTATGTTGAGGTAAATTCGACTGTTGCAATAGTACTAATTATCATATTATATAATATTAAAACTGATTTTACATCCCTTGTTATTGTTTCTAATCAATAAAGTCAAGAAAAAAGCTAAAAGATTAAAAATGATTCATAAATTGCTATAATAACTAGCTTTCAATTAATAAACTCTTATGATTAAGCATCCAACCTAATTGGTAAATTTTGACATATATGAAAGCTATAAATCTAATTAGAAGAGCAGCATTGTTATTATTTATCTGAACATGTTTGCACATTGTGGCCCCTCAGATTACAAATACCACATTTTCACTTAATGCTAGCTTCATCTTCTAAATTGCTAGATTCAACTAAATTTGAACAAGTATATGCATTATGACCTTTCAAATTGCAAATGCTACATTTTTTTACACCTTTTCTTTTCTCCATGCTGCCACTAGCTTCTTCAATATTATTAAATAAAATTATTAGATTACAATAAACTAAAGCATTCAAATCACAATGCTAATATAATACTCTGTATCTAAACTATGATCACTATTGCTATCATTTCTTATATTATCATTATATTATATTTAAGAAATCTCTTTCTTTTTATTTCTACCTTTCATATTTGTATTGTCATTGAAGTCTTTAATTCTTTTAGGTTTTCTGCCTTTTGTCTTAACACTTACAAGATTACTTATAATACAGGCAAACTCCTTAAGATTATTATGCTCAGTATAATCATTCTCTTTTACAAGTTCAAGCTTCATTTCTTTTGTGAAATTTTCATGAATTTTATAAAGCTCTTTAGTTCTATTTGTCATAATTGCCAGGTTAAGTGTCTTCTTCATCATGCCAAATCCTTTTTCCTATTGATGTCTACATATTATTTCATGTTGAACTGGTTTACTAAAAACATGCTTTCCACAAATATTTTCCAAAGGTAAAAAATCCACTTGTGCAATATGTTCTGATGCATCCAATTGGCTATTTAACCCTGCTACAATTGCTGGTTCAAAAAATACTGAAACATCCTTGACTAATGTATCTAAATACCAATATTGTAATATAAGCCCAATATGAAATTTCGTGACTTTTGAACAAAGCATTATTATAAAGAAATGATGGCACATGAGACTATGGTTTATTAATGTTAGACATGTACAAAGATATATATTATTTTCATAAAGTACAATAAAATGTATGCTTTTTTGATCAATTGAAGAAATATGCCAAAGTTCATAAATCTTGGTTCGGTCAAGGCTGTCGATTAGTTGATTTAATTCAATAATATTCACATCAAACATGTCTTCAGAAAACATTCCTGTGAGCAATTCAGTGGTGACCTTTAAAAAAAAAGTACAAATGTTAAAGTACTATATAATAAAAATATTATACTATTCTAATTGTGCAATAATATAATTTTTACCTCTTGTTCAAGCTTGTCTTCAAGATTAATCATGTGACATCGGTAATGTATGCTATAGTTAATTTTATTTCTCTAAAGCTTTAAAATTGCTGGCGTTAAAAAACACTGACATAATATGTCAATTGCATTAAAATATTTATTATAATATTGCTCTTCTCGGTTTACTGGAAGTTGACCTATAGTCTCATTAAGGTGTACAAATTAACTTTCTTTTTCTAACAATCTCTTAATACTTTGTTCAAGCTCTAAGATAGAAGTTAGTTCATTTACACAATTCTTGATTTTAGCATTATAAGATTTAATGTGTTGTGTGCTTTGCACACTGGCATTGAATGCATGGTATGTAAAGTATAGTACTCAGGCCTCCCTACAATGATAGAGTTGGTGCTTCAAATAACTAGTGGCATCAGCATATTTTTGCAAAAATAAAGCCTATCTTGCCTCAAAAATTGACTCCATATGACTGTTATGTATGGGACAAAAATTTGCAAAAAATTCATCTTATTTTTCATGATATTTTCTTATAAAATGCTTTTCTAAGTTTTTTTGAATATGAAATAGGCAGAAGTGGTGTTTGGTCATTGGAAAAGAACTACTAGCTGCAGCAATCATTGCTGGATCAGTGTCTGTATAAAGCAAACACAATGCCAAGTTACTAGTTGCCTTAAAGATACTTATGAATAACTATTCATAAGTATCTTTAGTTTTATCAGATACAATAGCAGCTGCTGCAAGATGGGAATGGTTATGATTATCCACAAGTATCACGAGACATAAGATCATTGAATGACAATTAGTTTTTGCTATAGAATCTAGAAGAATATCATTGTGAAAATGGACCCACAATTGCTGCTGACTTGGGCTCATCCAGCAAAGCCTTATAAGATAATTGTCCTTGCTCTCAAATTGAATATCAATATGAAAAGTAGGATCCATCTGCTGCCTTTTCACAAGCTCAAGATACAAAGAGCCAGCATTACTTATTTTACTATTTTTGCACCAAATTGCTTAAATTTCATTGTACATATTACATTCATAAATATATTTATTTAGATATTTTTTTTGTAAAATCTTAATTATTGCACCAGCATGCACTCCACAAGTCGCAAAAAATTTTATTTCTTTACACATTTCTGAACTAAGCTTTTAATAGTGAGTTGTGATCATATTTATATTATCCACAAGCATATGATTATGATGGCTATCAATTTTAGATATATAGATTAAATTATTTTTCTTGTGTTGATATGCATTAACATAAAATGTGCAGCTAGTAGTATAGTGACCACTATCACGATCATTAAGGGTATGTGCTTCTTTTCAAGATACATATAGTTAACCTTTCGTACATTTATAAATACGGCACTAGGAAATTCTATCTTCTTTATTCTTTTTACTATAGGTAATTGTAAATGCAAATCCACATTCTAACCCATAGTTATCAAGCCAATTATCAATTTCTGTTCAGTCTTTAAAGCTTATGTCCAGTTCAATCGAATACTTTAATTCTGAATTTCCCTTATTATAGTTTTGATTATCATAAGCATTAGTTATATCTGGCAAACCAATTACTTCATTTGAGGATGGATTTAAAGAATTTTCTGTATATTCTATGACTTTATCATCTTTAAGGTTAGCAGTATTATGCCCTTGAAAATTTCTATCAACATGATGATGGTCTTAAAAAACAAATTAATATTTATATTACCAACCATACCAAGTAAAATCATATTAACAGATAACACTCAATTTATATACTAGTTCAAATAAGGCATATTCCCAATCTACATTCATGCCAGAAATAATTTCAAGACTGCTGACACTTTTATTATTGGCTTGTTCAAAAAAATCACTCGGGTTATTAGATCTGAACATATTAAAAGTCAATATATTATCAGAATCAAATATATTATTTAAAAAGGTTATCAGGTTATCAGACTCATATATATTAAAAAAATTCTCTGAGTCACCATAATTGAATGCATTAAAAAAATTATCTGTATTACCCAATTCGGCATCAAATAAATTTTTCACATTGCCAAATTCATAAGTATTATGTGTTGTATGAGTTTTAAACATGTCAAGTGGCTCAGCATTTTGCGAAAAAAAATTTGGTTACAAGAAAAAATGATGATCAAGTATGTTAAAGAACTATAAAAAAAAACTTTTTTTTTAATTTACTAAACCACACTACTGGTGTTAGCATAATTTAATAAAATTAGATTATATCATTATTCAAAAAATAAAAATAATGTAAACATTTCGATTTATTTTCCAATACTGGTGTTGAACACCAGTGATGTAATTTAGTTTTTTTTTTTTTTTTAAATATTAATGGTGAGGCCATGCCTCTATCTTTATTGAATATTCAATTGAGATTTTACATA